TATTGATGCGCCTTGGCTTCAGCACATGGGATACGTGGCAAACTTCATATATCCAACTTGTGGCAACTTTACTAATTTGACTAGAGTTGCATACTTTCTTCGCCCGAGTAAATACTGGCACAACGTATTCGACACCCACCAAGTACTCGGTCACATGTATCGAAGTACTAAAAATACTCGGTACTTGGTAGAGGTACTCGAGTATTTACTCATATGTACTCGTATCGGAACAGCACTACCCATACATTAGATTATTAAGGGCCGGTTGTTCAATGTCTGGTTATCACTACTTGCTGGTTAAACATCATTATCGANGGCACAAGCACAATAAACACTTACCATATCAATTATTTTTTGCCTCCTTCCCATTTCAATTCACTTTTTTCACTTTTTTCACTTTTTGCGTATTCTTTAATTTCCGTTCATTTAAATTCAGTTGAGTTTGACACTTTTCAGGATTTTACCAGAATAAATTCTTGGGACTAAATCTGACTACTTCGGACTGAAGAGAGTCACTCTCACTGTGTGTTGCTCTCTCATTTTTGCTGTCATTTTCGAGTTAAGGATCGCTTTTTGGACTAAATCTGACTACTTCGGACTTTTTCTGACTATTTCTGGGAGATAATGAACGCAACTAATGCCTGGATTATAACGGAAGTAACGGAACGGAGTGAACTGTCACTTAATTATCTATTGTAGGGGCAATGAATTCAAACGATTATAATGCACTTGAACGCAACGTAAACCGGAAGCATCTAAAATCAATAGATCCTTACGAATTCGCCTCAATTTGTTACGATTCGCCCCGTGTATTATTACCAAGGTATAATCCAGGCATACATACGACTATCCTCGCTTTTCTTGACAGTTCGAACTGTAACAATAGTTGTGTTTGTTTACCCATTTCCAGTATAATGCAGGGGAAAATTTGGGAAAATCTTCCAAAACCGATCCAGGCTTTGAAAAAAACACAAAATATTAAGTGTGGAAGGGTGGAGGGGGTCCCCCTGATTATAAATCTGAAGGCATCACCCTCCGGAGGCTTATAGTTTTTAAGCAATTTGCGATTAAAGTTGCAAACAAAGCCAAATTAAACCTCGGTTTTTCCTTTGTAGACCAATTTAACTGAAATGGTGCTGCCACCCATAACAAAAAGATTCCGAAAAACACAGAAAACGGAACCAAATAAAAAACGCACATAATATCACGTGATTTTTTATTAAACATTGTTATAATTTATCGAAGTGTAGATTGTTATAAAAAACTGTCGCAGTCGAAAATTTGTCATTTATCGAAGTATCGATTTTTACAAAGAAAGCTCCGCTGGCTAAAACTGTAATACAAAATCGCGTGATTTTTTATTAAAAATTTTCATTATTTATCGAAGTATCGATTTTTATAAAAAAAAGCACCGCAGGCGAAAATTTATTATAAAAAATCGCGCGATTTTTTATTAAAAATTTGGATTATTTATCGAAGTATCCATTTGGTTTTCTTCTAGTATAGGGTACAACGACGCGTTTCGGTCCCAATATCAATAATCCAGAGGAGGAAGTTTGATATTATTAACCATTTAAAAGTTATAAACAGCAATTACACGGTAAAAAGGGCACTAAATCACCAGTTTCCATTTTTTAAACACTATTAAAATATATAATTTAACTTATTTACACAGGTCGAAAAATTTTTTCCCAGAAACCAGACTATACTTTCCCGAAGGTTTTCGGTGCGCTGAATTCAATCTGGATTTTGAGATATTCTAACCTATAATTTTTCGATATCTTGAAAATTATGTAAGTAACATAGCGGCCATGTGTACTATCCGCAGCAATTTTTGTTTGGAAAAATTACTCTGGCTTGCATACACAACTTCAAAAACGGGCAAAAACGGCATTTTTTGCACTTATAGGTTAGAATATCTCAAAATCCTGATGTGATAGAGCAATTCTTAGGCCAGATTTGAATTCAGCGCACCGAAAACATTCGGGAAAGTATAGTCTGGTTTCTGGGCAAGGAGATCGGTCTTATTTTGTTATTAAACAAACATATAGTTTTTCCAACATAAGAGTTTATTTTGTTACTAAAAAAAGTTAATAATGGGCGCCTTTCTAAGACGCAACTGTTTACCTCAACTGTTGCTGAAATGCTGTCAACTGTTGAGTTCAACAGTTACGTCTTAGAAACGAGATGATACATTAACTGCCAAAACATTTGTAAACAAGCAAAATTAAATAAAACAGCACAAAAATAAAAAAAAATATTAAGCCAAAAATATGGATAGCACAGGATTTATAATGGAGTTTTTCTTATTTTATTTTTAATATATGTATTTGTACATGAATTTTATTTTATTAACAGCCAGTTTCGCCAGCAATTTACCGACAAATAATTTTTTTATTTGAATTTTCTATGAAAACTGACGGAAGGGAAACATTTATATAAATTGTTGACTTCATGTAGCGAAATAATTTTATGATGGAAAAAATGGCGTAAAGTTGCCAACCGTTGAGCTGAGCGGAACTACTCAACTGTGCGTTTCTGAAACAAACACTCAACAGTTTAGCAACAGCTACGTCTTAGAAACGTGTCCAATGTTTCCGAACTGAAACGCGAGATTGCAAAATAGCTACAGTGCTGCCACTGTGTTAATATTTCGTAATAATACAGTTTTCCTTAGAAGGCGTGCAGAGTTTATTGCTTATCTTTATTGTTACCAACTACTTTATATATATCAACTTTATTTAACCGGTTAAATATATATATGTCTACGTGAAATATATATATTTAACCGATTTTTATGTAAACCGTCAAATTTATATATATGCTCTTTACTTAAAAATCGCTAAATATACATAAATATCTGCTTGAAATATAGATATATTTAATCGACTTGAATTTATATATATATGCGGTTCACTTAAAAATCGGTTAAATATATATAAATATCTGTGAAGTATATATATATTTAACCGAATTTTAAGTTAACCTCATAATTNGAATTGAATGATAGTAATCCATATAAGCAAAGAAAATTGGATTACCAATCGAAGAAAAAATTTAAAAAGTGTGTTTTTTAAAAAGTTTTCGATACTACGAGTACTTTGCAAAGTATCGAGTAAAATCAACAAATAAGGTATCGAGTATTAAACTACTCATTTTTATACTATCAGTATCGATGCTCTCTTAATATCGATAGTATCGTTCGAACAAAGGGTGGGTAACTCTGTAAATTTTGGTATGCTGACTCAGTAACTCCAACTCACTTTAAAGAGTCAGCACAGTGAGCTGGCACAAGTGTGCTATCGCACAATTGGTATGTNTGTCCAATGTTTCCGAACTGAAACGCGAGATTGCAAAATAGCTACAGTGCTGCCACTGTGTTAATATTTCGTAATAATACAGTTTTCCTTAGAAGGCGTGCAGAGTTTATTGCTTATCTTTATTGTTACCAACTACTTTATATATATCAACTTTATTTAACCGGTTAAATATATATATGTCTACGTGAAATATATATATTTAACCGATTTTTATGTAAACCGTCAAATTTATATATATGCTCTTTACTTAAAAATCGCTAAATATACATAAATATCTGCTTGAAATATAGATATATTTAATCGACTTGAATTTATATATATATGCGGTTCACTTAAAAATCGGTTAAATATATATAAATATCTGTGAAGTATATATATATTTAACCGAATTTTAAGTTAACCTCATAATTTGCTATTATATTGTGGTTAGAATGTTTTATTTAGGTAAAAGCAAAGAAATAACAAGAAGTGCATAGTGTAAACAGAGGGTAATAGCGCTAATGAAATGTGAAATAAAGTGGCAATACCAGCGATTTGAGGTTATACAAATTTTGGCAAGCGAAATGTTTGTTTAATCTGTTTTATTAACGAAACGTTTTGCTAGTGGTAAAAAAGTGGGAACAGGTGATTTAGTGTATTTTTGTCATGATAATTGCTCATAGAAAAGAGCGAACTTTAAGGAAAGGTTTTTTCGTTTATAACTTTTAAATTGTTAAATATACTAACTTTCAGCCCCTGGATTGTTGATACCGGGGCAGAAACACCTCCCGAAATATCCGGACCTTTTTTAACAGTTGTACCCTATACTAGAGAATTACCATCCATTTTCATAAATCGACCGATGTTTTATTACGAATTGAAATTGTCGATTATTGTTTGTTTACACGTTAAGCGTAGATGTATATGTGTGTAAAAAAAAACACAGCTAATATTCTATTGTATAATTTAAAAAATAATTCGTGGCCAGAGGGACCTAATTTTTTTGCTGGCCCTGTGACTTTCAACGTGCTAATGGGCCAATAATGATAGAATGATGAATGATAATATTCTATCATTCACGATGAACTTCATGTTCAACGTGTGTTGCCGCCTTTAGCTGCGTTTTGTGGAATTCAATTTATTGTTATACACACTTGTGGATTTTATGCTATGCATGTATAACTCAAGGCGAATTTATAAAAGGTGGTGTTACTAGCTCAGCTGATTTTGTGTATGTGTTTCGCCGCACGGCTTCTGATATCAAATTAAAAAATTTTGTTTGAATTTCTACACACACTCAAGGCGAATTAATTTAAGGTGATAGCAGGAGTACAAAAACAAAAATTTACATGTATTTTGTTTTTGCTTTGGCGGCATAAACTGTCAAAATCTGTAACAGTGTGTGTAGAAATTCAAACAAAATTTTTTAATTTGATATCAGAAGCCGTGCGGCGAAACACATACACAAAATCAGCTGAGCTAGTAACACCACCTTTTATAAATTCGCCTTGAGTTATACATGCATAGCATAAAATCCACAAGTGTGTATAACAATAAATTGAATTCCACAAAACGCAGCTAAAGGCGGCAACACACGNGCCACCTTATATAAATTCGCCTTGCACACACTGTTACAGATTTTGACAGTTTATGCCGCCAAAGCAAAAACAAAACACATGTAAATTTTTGTTTTTGTACTCCTGCTATCACCTTATATTAATTCGCCTTGATATAACTGTTTGTGTGTATCGAAATAGATACAGTTGATTTTTAGTTTCTGTGAAAGGAAAACGTGTGTAGCTCAGTATATCCAGTAAAAAAACTGTGGTGAAGTCCTTTATGGGGATAAAGTTTCCAGAGGTGAAATTTTAGGTAGTACACAATTTCTTACACGCATGGTTGCTTTTCA